TTGAAAACTCTGAGGATGGGAAGAAGGGTGGCAGTAAGAGGAAGAGGACATACATGTGATCTGAGTGCAGTAGGACTTATGGGACTACACGAAAACAGTATCATTTATCACAAGTCCACTGCAGCCTAGTCATGATGTACCATCTTATGGTCAAGAGTGAAGCTTAAGTGATTAAAGAAACACTGAAGTTCTTTTTAATTTACAAACAAAAGTAGCACTGATGTCAAACGCTGAAACCGTTTTCAAATTACTGCCACTAGTGTACATACGTGTTTGTAGAACAACTCGATTTCAGTTTTACAGTTGTAAATAATTTAATTATGATATATGATTATATTTTTAATTATGATATATGATAAATGTTTTGAATGAGATTAGTTAATAACCAGTTGAAAAACCATGGTACCTAATACTCAGAGACCACATTATTACACATTAAATGCACTTACACATGTATGGGGACCAGGTCTATGTGTCATGCTTTTTATCTTTGACAGTTATTAGGCAACTATATTTTCTGTATATTATACTTATAATGAAAAAAAAATCGATTGCACATTTCTGTTAATCAACAGAAACTACAGTTTAAATAATGAATTGTTTGAGGTGTATGAAACCAAAATACAAAACTACTGCCAAATTTACGTTTACGTTTAACTTTTTAGCAACTTATAGTCACAGCTAACCTTTGTCACAACGTCGCTGTGACAACTAGCCCCGGTGTTAATATGTGACTGCAGTAACACATATAGTTTAGATCACGTAAGAACATGTCTAATAAAGTACTAACATAGAGTGACAACAATATATCTTATAAGTCACCATATATATTTCACACAGCATCAGACAGAATTGCGCCTGCAGATTTTTTGCGATGTTACTTTAAAAGACCGATCTGGATTTTATAGCTGACAGACATCGCAAACACGATGAAGTATTAAGAAATCAAACTAATAATACTCACCTTTAGGTTTTTTCGAAGTGACCACTTCAATCTCGCTAGTGGGAGCCGCCATCTTTCTTCAAACAAGTGCACGTAGAGTGAAACAGGCATTACTCATCGAACACAGAGCTGATGTGAGCAAATCAAGTGCCGATACGATCGATATGAGCGCTGTATTGAGACCATAGACTGTATGATTGAGACCGATTGAGACGCAAGGAAAAAAGTTCAAATATTTTATGCCAGTGACCCAAGAAGCAAATTTCTTCTTAAAATAAAAAAGCAGATATATATTTACATGTATCAAACACCATTTATGCTGAGTAAGAAAAAAAGTTTAAATCTTGTTTCCCAAATTAAGTAAATGGCTTAAATAATTTAAGTATTATCCGGAAAATACTTGTCTTGAAAAGCTGACATTGTATCCACCTTTCCATAATTTAGAGTCATGGTTCAGTTTTTAAACTAAAAATGTCTCTCTACAGGTTTGTATACCTACACTCTCAGAAAAAAAAAGGTACAAAACTGTCACTGGGGCTTTACACCATATGTACAGTTTAGTTAGTAATATGTACTTTTAAAGTACTAATACCGTATGAACCTTTAAGGCAGTAATATGTACGATTTAGGGGTAAATAAGATGCAAAGATGTAACATTTAGCCTTTGTACCTTTGGGTACCAGCCTAGTGACAGTTTTGTACTTTTTTCTGAGAGTGTAGCATAAACCTGAAGAGAAACATTTTCAGTTCAATTACTTTTTAAAACGGAAAGCAATTTTTTTTATCTTAAATTTATAAATACAGTAATCTTATAAGATTAACAAAGCAAAATCAAAATCTTTTTGTAATTTTTAAAATACTGATCTGTACCATACTAATATTTATATGTACCCATAACATACCTTTAAGGTACTAATGTGCATCCTTTAGGAATAAATATGGTACAAAGGTCTACCATTTGAAAAGTTACCACCCTAATGACAGCTTTTGTACCTTTTTTCTGAAATTGTAGGTATAGCCTACCTGGTTAGGAATCCCTGCATTAGCCTATATCCATACATAGTCTGAAATATAGGACTTTTTAGTTACTAACGGCTTTTTTTTTTTTTTTACTAAGAAAAATGTCAATCTGCAGCATCTAACAAAATCAAGCTTTCTAAACATGAACAGGGTTGGTGCTGAGGTGCTGTTGTCATTCTCACAGCCTGCAGTCTCCTCATTAATCAAATGTATAAAGAGTCTTTCATGACTCCTCATCTCCATCTGTGCTCTGTTGCCTGGTGTGTATCTGCCTGTGAATGAAGACAGAAGTGCTATAGCTTGAGTGTTAAGTGTTCCTGTGTCTCAGATGCAAGTAAAAGTTACACATAGAGGTGAAAGGGCCAAAAAAACAAAGAAAGAAATGAAAATAATACTTGCATTTTTCATCTTTGATACCTTTTCTATACCTAACCCAATTCATTTCAAACAATTCATTTTGATTTAGCTCCTCCTCTTAAATTGAATTAATTTACGTAGTATTTTGTTTATTTGACAAAACATTCCTTCTAGTACAAAACAATGGCCAAAAAACTTCAGATAACATAATATTGCTATTTAGCAATTTAGTTTAACATATTCTGTGATTGTCTCTGAAGAGCGCGAGCCCTCACACGTCGCACTGTGAAGTACAGACTGAAGGGATTGTTAAAGGGGTCATATGATGCTATTTCAAGTTTTCCTTTCTCTTTGGAGTGTTACAAGCTGTTCGTGAATAGATAAGATCCCTAAAGTTGCAAAGACTAAAGTCTCAAACCCAAAGAGATATCCTTTATAAAAGTTAAGACTCGTCCATGCCCTCCTAAAACGCCTGGTTTAAACAGGCCCCCACATGTCTACGTCACTGTGTGGGAAGATTTGCATAACACCGCCAAATGTATAGGCAAAGAAAGAAGGTGTAACTTTTATTCTCGCTGTAGTATTGTTACCGCCGCTGCTATGTCATGGAGACGCTGTGTGTTTCGTTGTGAAAGCGAAACTACTTTGTTTGGTCTTCCAAAAGAGGACACAACTAGAAATCAGTGGTTAAGTTGTATTTACAACACT